AGGTTGAGCTTGGTTCCTCAGATGTTAGTGATGAATACGTGAGTGTTGACGAGGAGCATGAGGTGAGCTTAGTCGTAGTGGTCTAACGAATGTTTTACAGCACATCTGTGCCGCTTCAGACGATTGTTGCGACTCGTATTGTGCCTTTCCTGGTCATTACTATTCGTCATCCTAAAGGATTGATTGACAAGAGTACTGTAAGCAGACGCCCTAGGAGCACGTAAGTGAGGGTGGCCATGTTTCGTCGCATGTCATTGAGTGTGAACTATTGTGTATTGTTCGGTAGTGCGACTATGGAGCAAGCTGAAATCTCACCTGTATAATATCCACGCGATTGTTCACATTCGATCCGATATTCAAGTAAGTAATTTCTCTTTCAGTCGCGTCCCAATCGCTACTAAAGCTGATATTGCGGCGATTCGAGAGAAACAACAGCAGCAACAACCACAAGAAGGTGAATTCAATATCTTTGGTGATGATGAAATATGAGCAGCTCGCTTAGGTACTGAGATTACTTCTAAGAAGAGGACTAGAAGAAACCGTAAGGCTCGTCGTGGAACGCCTAATGCTGATGGTAGGGGATTTCGGTGGTCATCTTTGAGTCAATTTATCAATCTCTTCAGCTGCTGAGGGAACCACTAAGAGCGAAGTGAAGGCAGAAGCCTCGAAGGCTGATGTGAAAAAGGGAGTGTCCAAGGTGGATGCTGAGGTTCCAGTTGATAAAGTAGTCGAGAAGAAAGAGAAAGTGACGAAGACTGCTCCTGTGGTGGTTGAAAAAGGTATGACAGCTTAGTGTTGGAATTAATGGTCAGTTTGTTTTTGTGTAGAAGCATCGGCGTTTGACGGCGCAGTGAAGCCTCGTTCGAAGTAGTGATAGTATTGAAAGAACCGCGGCCGTTGCGGTAGTTTTTCCATAGCAAATACCATTAATGATGGCAGTTGATGTGATTTAGATAGGATAGTGAGGGGCGGCGCCGCGGCTAGGTTGGTTGGAGTACCCATCAGCCCGGTTCGAATCTCTGTAGGGTCTCATATCACCCGCATTTTTCTTACGTCTGTGAAGTCGTATGTTGTTACTCTTATCATAGTGATGAATACTGGTTTATTGACGTTGGCCTGTTGCAAGGTGATCTCGTTCTTGTTGTTTGTATCATCAGCATGGACGTTTTTATTGCATCTACCATAATAGTCGTCAATTTCAGCAAGTCGTCGTTAACTCTGGTTAGACATCCTTTATTCCAAGCACTCGTTTTTCTTTTTGCCCTCGTAAGAGTTTCAAGCTAGAAATTATCATATCGAG